AAATATCCAACACTGTTAGCGAGCTGCAGGGACACCCGCAACTCAATGGCTCGAGCAGGATGATTCACAATAATCCGATTGGTGCAGATAAGTTTCCATCTATCTAGATCAGATCAGATCGTTATCTTGAGCGATTAATCCCCCGTAATAAACTGGAACGCGTAACGGTGAGTGGGAGTTGATAGTTCTCGCATTCGGATGTGGAGTTCGTATTCGTACTCTGTTTCACAATGTCGACTGAACGATCACAACAGCGGCATATACAGCTCTTGTTCGGTTTCGCAAAGGGATTGTATCTTAGTTGTAGGAATCAATAGTAAGAGCTTGTAAAGAGTATGGAGTTGGGGAGGAATCCGAAATATCAAAGGACCAGCCTCCTTAGCATACAGCTTTGGAGATTTCAGATTTCTATTTGAACAAGAACAATCCTTCCCATAACGAAAATCAGACCACTCCAAGTTCATCAACTCTCCGACCTTATCTTCTTTCAAACATTTTACTGTCTGAATCTCTCGAAACTCCAAAATGTCTTCCTCAGAGCTGATTTCCTACGATGAGGCTCAGAACTCAGCGTTCGACAATGTCCTCCATCGAAAATCAAAAGAGTTAAAGGGTGGAATGCGAGCCATGATCAACAAGGATAACAAAGCACACGCCGCAGCTGTCGACGAGTACTTTCAGTTCTGGGACAACAAGAAAGCTGAAGATGAAGTCGAGGCCGTACGACAGGAGAGAACTGACAACTACGCCAGTTTGACAAGACAGTAAGTTCCCCCTGACTCTAGTCTTTTCCTATTACTGACTTTGAGAAAATAGGTATTATAACCTCGCGACCGATCTTTACGAGTACGGATGGTCTCAGTCTTTTCATTTCTGCCGGTTTGCCTACGGCGAGGATTTCAACCGTGCTATCGCTCGACACGAACATTATCTTGCTCATAACATCGGTATCAGGCCTGGTATGAAAGTCCTAGACGTTGGATGCGGTGTTGGAGGACCTGCACGAGAAATTGTCAAGTTTACTGGTGCTCATGTTACTGGGTTGAATCTCAACGAGTATCAAGTCCAACGAGCAACTATCTATGCTGAGAAAGAGGGACTTTCTGATAAGCTTAGGTTTGTCCAGGGAGACTTTATGGTAAGTTGCATTTTGCCGAATCTATGTTGCCTTACTAATGATGCGGCAGAAAATACCATTCCCTGATAACTCTTTCGACGCCGTCTACGCTATCGAAGCAACCGTCCACGCACCCTCTTTAGAAGGCGTTTACAGCGAAATCCGACGAGTCCTCAAACCAGGCGGTGTCTTTGGCGTCTACGAATGGCTCATGACAGTTAACTACAACAACGACGATCTCGAACAGCGCCGCATCCGTCTAGACATCGAGCAAGGCGACGGTATCGCCCAGATGTTCAAGATCGACCACGGCCTATCAGCTATCCAAGCCGCTGGTTTCGAACTTCTCCACCACGAGGATCTCGCAGCTACAGATGACGGAACAGCACCGTGGTACTGGCCTTTGGATAGTAACATGCGATACGCGCAGACTATTGGCGATTTCTTTACGGTTCTGAGGATGAATAAGTGGGGGAGGCTTGTGATGCATAATGTAATTGGGGCGTTGGAGGCTTGTTGGATTGCGCCGAAGGGGACGAGGAAGACGGCGGATAGTCTTGGTCAAGCTGCGGATGCGTTGGTTGAGGGTGGCAAGAGAAAGTTGTTTACGCCGATGTATTTGATGGTTGGGAGAAAGCCGGAGGAATCTAAGTGATGGTGAATTGGTAAGACGTTCGAAAGGGAGCAACAGAGAACTATGGAGGAGCCTTGGATAGTGGAAGATTATTGGTAAGGGAGGGTTATACCCAGAGAGATAGTAGATGAAGAAGTCGATATTAGGCAACATCTCTAAGTGAAATATTTCATTATTAATCGGATTTATTACTTTTGCCTCCTTATGCATTGCAGAATCTCGATGTTCATAAGCACAGAGTAGCATCCACTCTGTAAGCGATAGGGCTGGCCGCATCATACCTCCATGGCAATGAGCAAACAAAGCTGGCCACTGTCAACCCTGCAAAGCCAAAAGCGGAATTATCAGTCAGAAATATGTAATCCTTCAATATCCGTCCATTATAACCTCTAGAGTTCCATGTATTCAGGATCCCACGTGTTAAAAGCTTAGCCGTCTAGCTTATCGATAAGGCTTAGATCTCCAACGGTGGTCCCAAATATCCACTACCGATAATCTCACCAAGCCTCCGAGACCGCGCGTCAATGACCAATTACCACGGGAAAAGCAACTCCCGGGTGGGAATGCTCATCCTATGACCCTGTGAATAGATTTCTGCAGGCGCAGCTTGCCGGAAGATGAGGAATCCGAGCTGTGATCACTGTATGTTTTTATTTTTACTGCCGTACGCGCGCGAGATCTCGGGATAGCTCAGCGGGATCTGAGGGCGGGGAGGGGCTGGGGCCGATGTGGGACAGGGCTGAAATACGATTGTTTCAAAAATGGGGAGCTTTATTCTCAAGATTTTGCGATTAAAAATGCTAAAAAGACGGGATAAAAAAGACAAGGCTTGGTAATTTAGATGATTACGACATTGCTCTCTGGGCATTGAAGCTCACAGCTTGTTTGGGAGCAAGTGATCATCAACGCCCAGCAAATGGAAGCGGCCGTCTCACGTCATCATCATAGTCGTGGCGGTATAGCCTAGACCCCTTCCCCTTCGCATCACTCATCAGTGGCTGGCCACCCCCTGCTTCTTCTCTGCAGCCCTTTTTTTTAATCCCCGTGGTCTCCCCCCTCTTATTATTCATTTTCCCTCCCCTCTCTCTGTTTTGCGAGTTTAGCTGGAACACGGGCGAAACAATTCCAGCGATAAGAGCATCAATAGCGAAACGAAGCTGCTACGAGATATACGAAAAGACACGATATTTTACGATTTGAGAAGGACGATTACGGAGATAAGATTGCTATTGGTTAGCTACTTAGCTATTTGGAGCTCGATCGATATCGTGGCGTACCTTGCAGCTGAAACATAACAAACCCCGATACGAGACCCCGAGATCTATCAAACCACGATGTTGAAAAAGAAGGAAACCCTCACCATCATCACGCCCATCCCGGGCTTCATCCCGCGACAGCTCGCCATCGATCTTCTTCACTCCCACGGCGAGATCATCACCCTCAACCCCCTCGTCCTGTCGCACAAGCCCATCCCCGCTCCTCGCCATGCCGCCGCCGACGAGTACTACAGCACCTGGTACGAGATCACAGAGCGCATCCAGTACATCCCCGGCCTGGGAAAGATAGGCTCTGGAAAGCTCACCTTTAATGGATGTTTTCACGATATGCCGTGGGGTATGCAGTCCCATATTTATATCCCGCTCGGTATCGACATGCGAAACAAGTACCGCATTATGGGGAACCAGCCGGGCATTGAGCCGCCGGAGCAGCCTGAGCTTGGACTTGAGCAGCTTGGTGCGCCTAAGGAGGGGCTTTATCTTCGCACTGATGTCGAGCTCAAGTGTAACATCACCCTGATGGGTTTCGTCAAGGCGGAGTCGAGAAAGGCCAGTGTTGATATGGTTAACCGCATGGTTAAGAAGGCCGAGTTGCTCGATGCTGGTCTTTTGAAGGCCATGTTTGAGGATGGAAAGCTCAAGACGTATAACCCTAATGATCGATCGGAGGCGAGTCAGGCAAGACAACAGGCTTTGAGACAGCAGACTATGCCGGAGGGCCAGTTCGCTGCTGCTGCTCCGCCAGGACCTGGACCCATGAGCCCGGGTCCTTCTTATGCTCAGCCCTACGCATATGCTCAGCAGCAACAACAACCTCATCTCCAACCCCAACCCTCACCAACATACCCATACGCCCGTCCCGACGCCACCAACTCCCAATATCCCCAAAGCCCATACGGCTACCTACCAGGCCAAACACCTCCACCCAACGCCCAATACCAACAACAAGCACCACCCGTGCCACCAAAAACCAACATCCAGAGCTTCCCCATGGAACTCCCCGGCGATTACTACCACCCACAGCAATCACCAAACCTGCAACAACAGCCTAGTCCTGGACATGCACCCAGCAACTATCGTAACTCTACGGGATCGTACGACCCGCGATGGTCGCAGTCTAGCCCATCGGCTGCTGATTCGCATCGAGCGAGTATGTATTCGCAGCACTCGGCGGGATATCCGTCGCCGGCACCTGCGCAGCAGAGTTTTGCGGCGGAGTTACCGTCGCACAATGAGACGTCGGAGGAGCATAGGCATTGAGGAATGGGAATTGGGTCAAAAAGTAGCCGGTCATTTTAGTGATGATGCATGGGATGGCGTTTTGTTTGGGATGAATTGGATGCCGATACCTTTTGCTAGTGAGTCAACGATGAGTGGTAGAGAATATTTGAGAGAACAAAGCTGTGTATTTGAGTCTGTTGACGCTGAGGGTGTTGATGATACCCTTTTGGATAATATTGAAGAATTTGCGATTGGCACAATGGCTTGAGTGAAGTTTATAGTGACATGTCTCAATATCTCCATTCAAATAGTGCTCCTTCTGGCGTCGAGAAACAAAGTGACCGAGATTCGGCTTCCAATAATGATACTAAACCATTAATCTGGTGCACGCTGTAGGTTTTCGGACAGTTTCACAGAGTCCGGCATTCGGATTGTTGCCGGCGAGATAAGTCTCAGCCCTACGGACGGAGTTCATCAGGGCGGACTTTGGTGGAGTCGGGATTCAACAACATTCTTCGGCGACTTTGCACACCAGAAGTTAGCCCATTGAGTACTAATTTGTCAGTGATAATGAACCGCAGAAATGAGAGATTTGTAATAGGTATTGATGCATCGCTGGGGATGGTTTGAGATGTTGATATAAGAAGGACCACATAACCCAAGGAGATATGATGATCAAGACTCAGAGCGCTCCCTACCTATCAACCCACCGTATTTTCTTGACAGCTTTAAAACATTCTTCGGTCTCGAAATGCCTCTCAGACAGCCTAAAGTCGAGCCTTTACCGCCTGGTATAGATCTCACCAACAAAACAGCCATCGTCACAGGCGCAACAGCCGGCATTGGCCTAGAACTCTCCCGCCAACTCCTCAATCTCAATCTATCAACTTTGATCCTTGCGGTCAGAAATGCCTCCAAGGGCGAAGAAGTCAGGAAATCACTTGATATTATCAACCCTAAAGCTGTTGTCCAAGTGATGAAGCTTGACATGACAGACTACGCTAGTGTGAAGGCCTTCGCTGAGACGTTCAAGGGCAAGCACGGAAAACTTCACTTACTTCTGTTGAATGCGGGGATATCTGATATCAATTTTGAACTTGCGCCTACAGGGCATGAGAAGAACTTTCAGGTTAATTACCTGTCTAATGTTCTCTTGACTTTGCTTCTTTTGCCTGCTCTTGAACATACCGCTGAGCTTGAGGGGGCACCTACACGCATTACATGGACAGGAAGTCGTATGCATTGGCAAACAAGCCTCGCCAGCAAAGCCCCCCTCAAGAAAGACGAAGGCATATTTGAGCACTTTGACGCACCGGGAGTCATTCCCTCTCTCACCCGTTACGGCGACACAAAGCTCCTTGTGCTTCTCTTCCAACACGAACTCGCGAATCGCTACCCTCCCAAGAAAGTCATTATTAACCACTTCTGCCCCGGCATGGTCGATACATCTTTGACGGATGTTCTGCCCGTTTATATCCGCCTTCCAGCACTGATGCTCAAAGCTCTGCGTGCAAGATCGGTTGACAAGGCGGGATGGATCGGGTTACATGCTGCGCTTGTGGTGGGCGAAGAAACGCATGGACAGTTGTTGGGGGATAAGGAGGTTGCGGAGTTGGGCGATTTTGTACCGTCGGAGGAAGGGTTAAGGATTAGGAAATTGTTGTGGGACGAGACTGTTGAGGAGATGAGAGAGTTGACCCAATTGCCTTCATGGATGGAGTGATATCAGATGCAAGGATAGCAAAGTCGCCGCACGACTGAGTGAATTCTAGTAGCCACCTACCCATCTCTTTCCACACATCTCGCAGTAATGGAAGGTTTGGTAGAAGCGTATTGCTCAAACAGAGCTTAAAGCTCCTTCTACATCTGTGAACCTCCTACCTATTAATTCCTGGTCGGTTGTGCCTACCTCCACTACGACTAAACCAGGAGATGGGGGTACGATATCTTCCTTTTCTACCTCTCCATTACCTTAGAGGTTAGTAGGTAGTTTATACATCTGCATCTACATCTACATCTCTGCATTCATCCAACATTCTTTCATCATCAATTCATACGTCATCAGTCACTTCCAGTCACAATCCAAAATGGCCAACCATGCAGGACCGCAGAATATCGGTAATCCTTTATATACACTCTACGTCTCTCCCATCAACGTTTCGCCGGTTCTTCTCCCAATACTAAACAAACACAAATACCTACCCAAAGTAGTCTACTTCTGGACCGACGATGACAAAGAAGATTTTGAACTAAAACCAGTGCGGCTAAGATCCAACTTGACCCCCAAAGAAACCGGACTGACAGTTGCAGGTCAATAAGACCCGTAAACCTATCACCGTCCACAAGAGATCCAACTATCAAGAACCCCCCTGCATTCCAGGAGAGTACAGGGAGGTTTCTTTACTGCAAAAGCACCCCAGTCACCCGCTTGCGGTCGTATTCCAGGCCATGAAAGCTGCTAATCCTGACTGGACATGTGGTCATGTCGACATCATCGCCCAAAGCGATCTTTTAAACCGTATCTACTCGTGGATCAGTGGTGCTCAGACCTCGAGCTTCGTAATCGACGCGTCTGTGGTCAGTGATACGCTTTGTATCTCACTCTCTAAGGACGAGAAACCCTCTAGCGGCAGTCAAGAGGATGAATCACCATCGCCGTCGCCAACCACCATCGGACAACATCAAATTCTGGAATACTCATTTGGAGGTCTCAACTTACTCGTCACCTCCCCTGGCCACCTTGTACGCTTTGCCCGGTCAAACAAAGTGTGCTTTGCACGAATACTCCAAACCGGCGTTGGGTCCCGCCCTGACTGGCCTAATGTAATCCCTCTGTTATGGTTCGACGGAATCTGCACATGCGTATCTGGCTCTGTTTCCGATGGAGTTTTCAAACAAGGTGACCAGTGGTACGTTACCAGGAAGCTACGATATTGGCAGAGTGACGAACAAACGCGAGAGCATATGCAGACCATGGCTTGGCTCCTCAATTACGTGCGAATCATCACCTCGTGGGAGATGTTTTCCGGATCATGTTCGATTCACTTCAAGGTCAGTGACGGTCCTAAACGGTTAGAGTTCTATGCTGCGTCGCGGGCACAAAAGTTGCCTACTTTGTTTGGGGAGTTTTGGGATTATTCCTAGGGGCCTTCTGGGGAGACGGAGCGTTGTGTTATTTATAATAGGTAAAGCGATTTTAGGTGTAGCGATTAACTGCGATTGGTCCCGTCTTGGATGACCACCAAGTCGATCATTCTTTGTCCCTCTCTCCAAGTGCTCACCATCTTCACTTCCCTGAGCATCCTCAATAAACATCCGCTTTTGGCATCTCTTCATGCGTAAAGTCAACATTCGTTGGAATACAAATATGCATGTCAAGTGAAAGATGCGTGGGACGGTGAGAAGGGTATGTGCAGAGCGCTGCAAGACGAGGACAGAGGTACTTTGACCACGACAAGGGACTAGAATTCAGGATCCTCATTCGACATGATATAGGATTCAGGTAAATTGAGTCAAGTTCAGAGGGCTTTTATTAATATCCCCTCGTAGTATCTCAGCTTTCTTGAACTCTCACGGAAGTCTCGGGAACTTCTCCCATACGAAACCTCACAGTCGTTGGTTATACACAGTCGAGGAAATCACGAGACCTAGATTTCAATAGTCTAATCCTACACGTAGCTTAGTTTCCAGGGTCTGAGGTCTTCAGCTGTGTTGAATTGACTGGATTGAGTCCCTATTGGACCGGACATAAACGTGCATCTAATAGTCTCTTCGCTTACGGGGTTTGTTGGTTATGTTGCTGTTGGCTTGGCATTTATGACCCCGGAAATCGAGCCAGCGCATTCAATATTGGTACATTTATAGAACAGCTTGACGTCGAGAAAATGGTCTGATTTCTGCGGTGTATATAAGTCGAATCAATTCTGTATGAGTTAAATTTCTTTTCTGTGATTGTTATTCTGTTTGATCTGGCAAAATGGTTGCCCTCAAGTCCATCATCTTTCTGCTCGCCTTTGGCACAGAGGCCCTCGGTGCTACAACCGATGTTATCTGTCAAAGCAAATATGGCACAAAGAGTGTCGCTTCAAATAAAGTCCCGCGGGCTACTACTACAGTGATGAACCAGATCACAGTTATTAAGAAGGTCATTCGGAAAGTCAATGTCGTTGTGGTGCCCAAGGCCAAGACTACCACCGAGACAGAGACTGTGATCAAGCTGACTACGACAAGCGTTGATTCGGATGTCGAAACTGCCACTGAGACAGAGACTGGTGAGTCTACTGAAGTAAATAAAAGTAATTTGAATAGTGCTGAGTGTTTAGATATACAAACCACGAATCGGGTGGTGATGCTCGCACGAACCTCAACATCGGTATCTTCAACAACCACGACAAAGTACACCACCAGCACAATTACCGCACCATCAGGTTTCGCTCCGATAAAACAAGTCCAAGGCTACATCGCCAGAGTCAAAGCCAGAGGTCCAGTACCTCGAGCTACCACCGCATATCTCCAGCGCATCGACTGCACCAAAAAGATTCCCTCCACTACGACAAAGACCATAACTACCACGGTCCAGGGAGCGAGAATTACTCTCAACCCTAAGACTGTAACGAAGAAGACGACGAGTTTTATGACTATCACGGTGACGAAACATGGACCTCAGGTCACGGAGACTGAGACGGAGACTGTTACTGCGTTGAGGGTTAACCTTGCTCAGAAGACTCAGACTCAGACGATCCCTGAGACTGGTAAGTACACAAACCTACAATGGAATAGTCGTGCTAATATGCCTAGTCACCATTGAAGCCATCGTCCCCGCAGACCCCTTCTACGCCGCCTGCTCTTCCAACAATCTCGCCAGCACGGCCAACGGCGGCAAGAGAATCGCCGACTTTGACGCTTGGGTGGCCAACAGACCCATTTACATCTCTGGTCTTAACAGCGCGTATGCATGCTGTGTTGAATGCCAGAAGAAACAGAACTGCTTGATGAGTCGGTCAAGTGCTGGTGGTGCATCGTGCTGGTTGTACTTGACGCCTAGTGATGATGCTTGTTCGGCGCAGATTAACTGGTTAACCTATCGAACTGACAGTGGTGTTGGTGTGGAGTGGACTTACAGTAATGGACCTTGTGGGAGGGCTATTAATGGGCAGGAGTCATCGTGATCATGAGATCCGTGTTGAGCTTAGCCTCAAGTTCATGGTCATCGTCGAGCGGTCTTACATAGGAAGCAGGCTAGAATAGAACATAAATTATATAGATAAGTCACGAAGATTAGAATAAAAGCCATCAGATCAACCCGTCGTAGCACCATCACAGTCATTTGGTGTGACTACTCAATCAGAACCTGCTTCTCCTTCTTCAAACTCTCAACAAAGCTAATCGACACATTGAGAGTCTGAGCGACAACATCCGGAGGAGTCAAAGCAAGCCACTGAGTCAAAGAGATATCGGCAACACGATCAGACTTGTAGACCTCAATCCAGATAAGATCCTCATCCTCCGAAGTATTCTCAATGTAGTGCCTACCCAGCATCAGTATCATCTTCACGCACAGGCACAAGAAACTTACCCAGAGTTATCAGGAAACGCAGCAGTATCACCCGCCGAAAAGTCAAAAGTCCTCGCCGCCGCATTCCCAATAAACACCGTCGCCCTCGCCTTACCCTGGTGGAAGTACAGCCACTCCTCCGCATTAGGATGCCAGTGCAACTCCCTCAAACCACCCGGCTTAAGCGTAACAAAGGTAGCAGCAAGAGTCTTTGATGCAGGGAAATTAGTTGAATCAATCTTCCAGAAGTTACCGCCCGTGCCGCCAATCTTTTCAGGGTCGTGCTGGAATGTGCGGTACACGAAGGAGCTATTTCCCGAGAGTTTGCCGGCGGGACCGTCGGTGACGTTGTGCTTGGTGGGTGTGCCGGGGAGGATGTAGGGGTTGGGGGCTGTGACGTTTTCGAAGACGGAGGCGTTGACGCCAAAGTTTTTGGCGAGGATGGACTTTGGAGTGTGGTTGATCCAGTCGTCGACCATGAAGGTGGTGCTGGCTTGTATTAGTGGTGTTGTGTGATGTATGGGTGTAGAGGTGACTTACCCGATTTTGTCAAAGTCGGCTTCGTCAAAGACTAGGAGATACTCGTTCTCATCGGCGAGACCTTGGACGGTATGAGCTGCACCTTTGGGGAAGTACCAGATGTCACCGTAGTTGAGGACTTCTTCCTGATATCGCCCGAATTCATCAACAGCAGAGATGAGGACGGAGCCGTTGTACACAATGCCCCATTCGGCCTGTTGAATCAGTACTTGATGATTGAGGCTGAAGTGCTATACTTACGACTTTATGCCAGTGAAGTTCTCGAATCGCTCCCTTGACTAGATGCTGCTGAGCGCCAGAGATATCATGGCTGGAGGGCAGATCTTGGATGACCTGTTCACGAACCCAGCCGCCCTTCAAGAGACGAGTCTTGGAGTCGGAGAAGCTCCATTTGAGATTGGGAACAACACCGTTGTCAGTGGGTTGCTGACCAAGGTTGTCTGGGTTCTGGAGGTCAAGCTCCTTGTTTGTGCCGCCTAGTCACTGCGTAAGTATGTGGTGAGAATTAGAGACCAAGACATGTGGTAGCTTACCTAGAAGAACAGCACCTTTGCCCTTTCCATCATAGGGTTGGCCTTTGTCAAAGCCCGGTTGCTGAGTGTCTTTTGGAGCTGCAGCAACGATGTTGGACCCAAGGCATAGAGCCAGGGCGGAAGAGAAGAGCGAAGCGCCCTTCATGATAATGATAAAGGAGGACCCGAAGACGAATAAGTTGGAGAAGGGGAGTGATGAGAGGATAGATGAGGAAGGTAGAAGGATAAAGACTTCTGTCTCATCGGCGACGTCTTATACCCTCAACAACACAAGCTCCATCACGACATCATGCATACAGACACATCCAACAAACTGGGAAATTACGAGAGGCGTAGCTGAATGGCAATCACACCCTAGACACTTACACAAATGACACTACGATAAGTCGGGCTGTCTAAAAGAAACAATGATCGGCATAGCTGCATGAAGCTATCAAGGAAATTACTGTACGAAATCTGAGTGTGAATGGCGTTTGCTTACCCTGAACTCGACCATTTGAACGTTCAGAAAACATCAGATAATTGCTGCAATGTGACAAAAGAAATTACTCAGTTCAGGAATTATTTTAAAGACATCAATTAAAATCATAAATATTTGTAATTAATGAACTCTGTAAACATCTTCTCAGTCAAACCTTTCGTGGCATTTGGCCTGTGCCTTGATCTTTGTTCAGTGTTACCCTCTACCGCACGCACCCCATCACAGCCAGGCGCTACGGTGATCGGCACTCCGCCTGCCAAGACGGATATAAGCGCGATAGCGGGCCAGGATTAATGCAGATCTGGGGTTGACGACATAATTAGTGGATTTAACGTGATCGATCCGTCCTGTTTTAGTGCGGCTCAACGTGGGTTTGGACGAACCAGGGCCCCACGCTATAAGCATACATTTATGGTAATTGATAGTGTATTTGCCGGGTTTCGGCCTGTTCCTGATTATCGCGATCGAAGCATTCTTGTGACTTGATGCCTCTGGTATTGATACACTTGTTGGCTATACACAAAAAGTCCAAATAGCTTAGTAAGATCGTTTTTCCCCCTGTAGTTTATGGGCTTCGCAGCTCAGAATGGCTCGCCACGGCCCCTCGGCGTGGATGCTCGCAGCCTTACAAGGATCATACTCGCAATCCAGACTAACAAGACGTCTTCCCAGCCAGTCAAAGCACTCTGAAGATCTCCCACAGATGCAGTCTAGTAGGAAACAATTTGTATAAGTCATTTCCCAAAGGAGATGTTTAGTCTGTTACCCCCACCGGTATTTCCAACTGCCGGGGATTCGTGTCAGGGGTAGCTGAGCGCGCCCGAGCTAATGGGTCAAGGCTGATGTTGATTGCCTTGTGGATAATTCTGCGGTATGATCTTGTAAGTGCAAGGCTGTCTCAGTTGTAATGGTTAATACCACGCGATACTGATGTCATTCGTTAGAGCTGTTGATCCAAATATCCCGGATATGTGGGATGGGACTGTGTAGGAACCTTATCTCGGGTAAGCTTGAACTCAATGGGTGGAAATACATGCAAAGAATTTGCAACTTCATCTCAAAATCGCCTGTAACCTGAAGAACGAGAATTGAGTAGTGTTTGGAGTTGTTCTTTTGATGCGTCGCTGCGTGATGCCATCCGTGACCCCTGTGTTAGGAGTAGCTGCTCTTGAGGGAAGCAACAGACACTCAACCATTGCCAACCATGCCAAGCGCCCAGAAAAAGCGTGATCAAGCACCTTAGCCATGCAAGTCTCAGCTCAAGGTAACCCTAGGAGAATGCAATGCTCCCAACCGGGTAAATGAGCGACTCAGCTATGCCAGATTGACAACCATCAGGGGCATCACCGACAACCCACCACTGCCATCCCACGGACGATCGGGAGGTCGGTAATTCAGTCCAAGAAGTCCGAGAGTAGGGATCGATGCTTTCTGGCTAGACTTTTGCAGATCAGTCCTGTAGTCACCGGGTAGTTCAGTTCCGCTGCGTGTTTGTAAGTCCTCCTTGCCAGCACATCAACCAAGCTAGACAAGAGCAGACAAGACTGAGGAGGAAAATGTCCTGAGAAGGAAATTGCGATAGCCGTAGCAGAAGAAAACTCATCATGAGGTTCAATTGTGTCTTTGTGAGGCTTGATGATACAATTTTTGAGAGTGAAGTCGTGAAGGTTGGTGGATGCTGGACTTTGGAGAATGAACTTGATGACTCGAGGAGTTTGTGGCAAGGCGGAACCAAGATGGGTATATAACACCTTGGAAACTCCCTCAAACTTTCTCATCATCAGCTCACACCATCAACTTGCTCACTTCCCACCAGCATCACTGAGCTTCCTCCACAATGCCCTCTCTCATCTCCATCACGGCCCTTCTAGGTGCCCTGGCCTCTCAAGTCTCGGCATCACCCGCCAACATCGCGAAACGAGGTCTCAGCCTCCCTCCTCTGATCCCCAAGATCCCAGGAGTTACTGAGCCTCTTGCTGACAACGCTCCTCCCCTGCCTATTCTCCAGCTTCCTACTCCTCCGTTGGATAGCCCCCCTTTCAAGGTCTCCAACATCAAGCCCAAGAAGATAGGCTACTTCTGGACTGGTGCTGGTGATAACAAGCATGCTGATTTCTTGGTCACTGCCAGTCTTGATGATGTAAGTTTGCTGAGTTGATAGTGGGAGATGTACTAACAGACTAGGACACCTTTGGTGAAATCATTGACATCACTGATGTCAACACCAGTGGTAACTCACCTCACCATCTAGGTAGCTCCCTTGATGGCAAGACCCTCGTTGGAGGCGGTCTTCTCTCTCTTCTCAAGACCCAAGACACCGCCTTCTACTTCGACACTTCGGACCCATACCATCCCAAGTTCGACCACAGCAACCGCGGTATTCTCGGCTCCATCGTCGATGAGATCCGCGCCAAGCCCGACGGTGGTTTCTTCATCACTTACATGGGCAGTGCTGTCGGTACATCTCCCGGTCGCCTGATTGAGACTGATGCCAATGGCAATATCATCCATGAGTGGCCTGAGGATGTTGAGGGTACTCTTAACATTCTTGGAGAGCAGTTCTCTCCTCATGGATTGAGTGTGGACTTTGATAAGAACATTATCCTTACTTCTGACTTTGTTGTTCCGATCACGATTCTGAAGCCGACTCTTGGTATTAAGAAGGCTGATACACTTCGACTTTGGGATCTCAAGTCTCGCAAGATTATCTCTACTATCACTATTCCTAACGTGAGTTGCTCGAGTCAAGACGTGAATATAGCTAACAGTCACAGGGCCAAGGTATTCAAGATGTCAAGTTCATCCCCGGTAACAAGGAGAGTGCCGCTCTAGCTACGTGAGTCCCTCAACACCACGCTATTCACCAGATACTAACTCACGTCTACAGAGCTGTTGGCCCCGGCCAAGTCTGGATCATCTACCCCTTCCGCAAAGACTCCAAGGGCAACCAGGGTGTCGCCGAACTCCTCTACGATCTCGGTGACAAAGCCAAGGACTCTCTCGCCATCTACTCCGACATCACCGACGACGGAAAATTCGCCTACTTCACCATCACGCTCGGCAACCACATCGCCGCTCTCGACATCTCTGACCTCGACAACGTCAAGCGTCTTGATGATCCTGATGAGGAGCAGCCCATCATCGGACCTCACTATGTTAAGATCTCTCCTGATAAGAAGAACCTCCTCGTTACCGGCTACTTTGTTCAGGCTGGAGATGTAAGTTCTGGTTTCCGTGCTCTTTGATGAATTTGTGCTGACTCTTACAGATCTCTATCGTCAACACTCCTGGTGATTACAAGGGTCACTGGATTGACATCAACGATGATGGATCGCTTAGCTTCAACCGTACCATTGACTTTGAGAAGATCTTTACCAAGACTCGTGGTGGTGCGCGACCGCACAGTGTTGTTATCTTTGATCTCACTGATCCTAAGAACCCTATCTACTACTAGAGTTGTCCTTGGAGAGGTGCTCCAAGTTTGAGGTGGTTCTTGGCATGTATTCTGTGTCGACAATGCACTCGGAGACGACGTCAACTCTTGGGATTAATGACTGCTGGTTGGATGATGGACTGGATTCCTTCGTACCTCTATGAGGCCTTCATTTAGTGACTGATGCGTTTGCCTTTATATTCTATTTAGTTCAACACGACCAATAATACTTTCCTTGCTTTCACGACATTTGTCTTTACTTCATCGTCTTTTCCTTGTTCTTCCTCAGTCTTCATCATCACGACCTCTATTATGACTCCCAACTCTCAGAGAAACAATTTAACCATAAAGCTTAACCAATCGGTCGCATAAACCCTTGCATAGTCTTTGACCAACAGATCTGAAACAAAATGAAGACCAGCACAGCCGCACCATACCCTGTCCAGCATCAAGCAAACGGGCCGAGCAGCATGCCTCATCGGGCCATTCGGGTAAACACACAGTCGTTTTAGCAAGGATATGTGAGGTCAAACCAACAACAAGACCAGCCACAGCAATGAATTCTCATGAATCCTCCCACAGCCAACTCGCAACCGTATTTTCTCAGTGTTTCGTCTCTGTATAGAATCTATAGGCGAAAGCTATTCGAGGGGTTTCCCATCAATCATGTCTGTCAATGCCACACCATCCTCGTCCATGAATACGGCGACAACCGTAGAGCGCATCGCACTGACTACTCCATTCTCGCCGCCTAATAGTTGCCAGCCTAGCTGGACAAAAACGAGCCTGCTCTGGACTCAGGATGGCACCTTTACCTATCCTGTTCTGGTATCAGCACCTCCAACTTCATGCTACCCCTCGGGCTGGGGGAGCGGCGAGGCTGACTCTCTGTTCACCTTCAGTCCCGCTGTTTGTCCTTCTGGCTGGGATTATTGGGAAATGTCTCGTTCTGGAGGCCCTCTAGCAGTCTCGACAGCATACTGTTGCGAAAGGTTCAAACCCCCGGGAGCATCCTACACCTCAGAGAGCAAAGAGACTAATAGAACCATTTAGCGGATTCACCTTCGATCCTTTTGATCGAGGTGGTTACGTCGCCAAAGACTTCTTTACTAGCGGTTGTGGACGATGGGTCCAGGCGACGACAAGCATGACCCAAGACGATGACACAACGACTACAGCACTGTCGGGCTTATCCGGTTACCAAGATGCAAGCGCGCTGGATGGGACTTTTATGGTTCACCAAGCCTGGGCTATATCCTGGGTCTCGTCTGAGAGGTCTGATCTAACGCCGATGCCACTTACTTTGACAGATGGTGAGAGGGTATCACATTGGAAACCAGGCGAGACACTCCCCGATGACAGCCGTCCAACCGAAAGGTTTGACCAGAGCCAGGGTTATATCAGCACCTCGGCTGTGTGGTTTCTCATGATTGGACTCCCTATCATCGTGTTTCTAATGATTGTCGGTTGCTGCTGGGTGTGTATCAGGCGGAAGATTAGGGATAGGAGAGTCAGGCGTGCAATGAGAGACTCATCTTTGTCTCGAACTGGTGAAGGACGCTCATCTCTCACCCCAGTCTCATGAGCGCCTTGAAACAGAGCGAGTTAGTAAAACATATAAAGGATAGAGGGTGGAAGAATGCTCAGGGCAATTGAGAAGTCATGTAGTCGCATGAAGCTTGGAGGAGAAACAAATAATATTGTGTACAAAGGAACCTATGAACTAAGAGCAAAAGAACCAAATGATTCTATAGGAGGATATCATGACAAATTCTTAGTCTGAACCACACCGGTTGTCGATGGTTTCCCACGATGTGTCGTGCCCTCAGCTACTGGCCACATTCTGCGGCCATCAGACTTTTCGTTCGCAATCCACTCCTTCTTCTCTCCCATGTGCGTCACATTCATCACCGGCGGTATCAGCGACTCAGCCCCCTTTGGCAGAGCCTTGAGCCGCATAGTCGATGTATCATATGCATACAAGCTCAAGAGAAGACAGCCGCCATTCTCGGGAGGATCAAGAACATACGCGCCTCCATAGCTGCTTTGCCGATCTTCCTCATCGTTTGGGCACGAATAGCCAGCAGTCCAGCCTCCCAAACAAAGATCATGGTTCCAATCATCTTCAGAGAAGGAGAACGGCTCTTTATCTCCGCAGCCGCTCTGATCCGGCGCCCATTTGGCTGACACGATAACTGTGTAGCCATCTTCTTCTAGAGCCACGTTCTGACCAAATGTGTTACCGGGGTCAAGCGTGTAGCTAGAGTCGCAGAATGACCCTATAACTTGCCGTGCTTCGTCTTTGGTGAACTCCACATAGTTTGTGTCCCCTTCGTAACAGTAGGCTTCACCTTCGTTGATGGCCGTATTGGTCGGATATGAGGTAGTAGTTTCCGATGGCTCTGTGGTGGTTGTCTCTCCAAATGTTGTCGTCGCCTTCGGGTAAGACGTGGTGATGAAGGAAATGCCCTTGATAGTGACCGAGATGGTAGTGCCGACATAGGAGGGAAGAATAACCGCTGATGTTCCTCGCATCTTGGTCTTTGATGCTGACTCGACACCGGGGATGGAGTAAGCGGTTCTATCAACGGTGGCATATCCGTCGTTGACGGGGTATGGTGTTGAACTGACGATCACACTTGCTGAAAAGGTTGTTTTGTAAGTAGAACCCAAGTTTCCGAGGGCGTTGTTGTCATCACCGAAGTCATCACCATAGTCGACAGGGGTGAGAGGACAGGAGGCTCCTGTGGTTGTAGCTGTTGCTGTAAGGAAACAGCCTGTGATGACTTCAGTCGACGTAGTTGTGCATGAGGAAGATTCGCAGGACACCCAGTAGTCGGTTACTTGAGAGGTTGTGCAGTCGCAGCCGAGATATGTGTTGCAGACAGTGGCGCATGGTTTTGTCGTGCAGACTTGATGACACTCGGTGTTTGTCTCTGTAGCGCAGTCCTCATCATCGTCATCATCATCATCTTCGTCGTCGTCGTCGTCATTATCATCGTCATTGCTCTTCTCACATCCAGGTCCAACACAGTTTCCTCCCGGCCCAGGACATCCTCCACCAATGCACCCGATCAAGCCACCACCACTTCCTCCTCCACCTCCACCTGGGGCACAACCGAACAGACATGGCTTACCGCAGCCAGACTTGCAGATAGGTCCAGGTGGTCCCGCGGTGATGATGACACCCGGAGCGATGCCTGGTGGAGGCCCAATTTTCACATCATCAGTAGGAAGGGGTCCAGGCTTGTAGGTGTAGGTAATGCCGTGGGTTGGTTCGGTCAATGTGACTGGAGATGGAATAACACTGCCGCGTACAGGCACAGATATGGACGTTGACTCTGTCAGTATCACGTTGGACACACCAATCTCGGAAGTTACAAGAGGCGGCAGTGTGATCTTGACAGTGATGGTCGTCGTGCCGTACTTGATAACACCGCTGGTAGTCTCCGGCCAGGTCTCTTTGAAGGTCTCAGTGATGACAGGGAAACTGATCGTCGTCTTGGATGAGAGTGGCCATGGCGGGAGGATGAGGGTACAAGGTGGTTGACAACCTGCTGTAGGGTTCTTGGAGTCCCAGATCTTGGGATCAATGTAGACAACGTCTTTATCACCATTGTTGCCTCCGTCACTGCCTCCATCACCGTCGTCGTCGCCGTTGCCACCTCCGCCGTTACCTCCATCGTCGCCGCCCTCATCATTACCTCCGTCACCGCTGCCATCACCACCACCACCACCTCCTCCTCCTCCAGTACCAGGCTCAACAGGAATAGGTTGACCAGGATTATCCGGCAGCTTCGGCGCCCAGTCGTGATTATTGAGATACGCATTTACCGCGCCCCCATCAAAGACAACGAGATAGTCAGCCTTCCTATCCCCATTGATATCCGCATAATGGACGGGACCCTGGGGACTGACGCCTGCTGCAATAGTCCCCATGTCATTCCACTTGCGCCCTTCACCAATCGGAATCTTGCCATTGTTGCGATATCCTCGAGCAGCGCCGCCATCATACTGAACGATATAGTCTGCTTTGCCATCTCCTGTGAGATCCGCAAACCGGACCTTGCTGCCGGGCTCGCCAACGCCAGTGGCTACAACAATACCCTCTTTCCAGATGCGGCCGCCGTTCCTGGGTGGTATGTTTTTGTTGTTCTGCCAGTACTTGACTGCTCCGCCTTCGTAGAGGATGAGGAAGTCTGCGTACCCGTCGCCATCAAGGTCTGCAAACCGGACCTTGCTCCCTGGTTCACCGACGCCTGGAGAAATAGTAATACCATCTTGCCAGATGCGTCTATTCCCAGGATCAGGCAGGTTGCCGTTGTTGAGATACGCTTTGACAGCTCCTCCGCCGTATATGATCAAGTAGTCAGCGCGCTTATCACCGTTGACATCGATGAACTCAATGCGCGAGTCGGAGAGATCCTCGTCAAAACCCGGCGCGATCTCACCGATTGCCTCCCACTTGTTGTCGCCCTTGTTGATCCAAGCCCGAGCTCGTCCTCTAGAGTCGACAGAGATTAGGTCATCTCTTCCTTCGCCTGTCAAGTCGGCGAAGCGGATGCTCTGGCCTTTGGTTCCGGTGATACCAAGGTTCTTCCACATGCGGATGCTTCCGTCGTCGGCAACAGCAAGGAAGTCAGCCAAGCCGTCACCGTCCATGTCGGCAAAACGGATCATTTCGCCTGTGACACCCTCTATGCCAGGGGCAATTGTGCCCAAGTCATCCCAGTTACGGCCGCCTTCTTTCAGAGTGTTGCGGAACGCTTTTACAGCGCCGCCTTGATATATGACAAGATAATCTGCGCCGAGTTAGTATATCAGTGCGTCTATCAGAATACTTAACACTCACCAGCCTTCCCATCACCATCAATGTCTCGGATGCTGGTAGAGTCTTGAGGTATACCCGCTGGTCCCGGGGCGATAGTGGTTTCAGTCTCCCAGTTCTTGCTGCTGTCCTTGCCATTGTTGTGCGTGTTACGCGCCCACTTAACAGCGCCGCCCTCGTACACGACAACATAGTCAGCATATCCGTCACCATCAATGTCCTCAAACCGAACTTTGTCTCGAGACACAAGACCGGTTGCCCATCTGGAATCGAGGGACTCAAACTTCTTTCCGTTGTCCACGTTCTTCCAGACCTTGGCAGCGCCATCTTCATATAGAGCAATGAGATCTGCCTTTCCATCGTTATCCACATCGGCAAGACGGATCATGTCGCCCGTGATGGACTTCCAGTCTGGGTTGATATAATCAATGCTCTTCCAGTCATTGGGCTTGCCTCCATTGATCCAAGCTCGTATCTTACCATCCTTGTCAGCAAGGACGTAATCAGCGATACCATCGCCGTTCAGATCAGCCAAAATGACCTTTTCGCGCGAGGAATTCTCAGCAGAACCTCTGATGGTTTCGACAGAATCCCATGTCCGGAAGCCTTCAAAGACAGTTCCTTGTTTTTTCCAGATCTTACCCACGATTTCTTCTTGAGCGCCTCCTGCTCCTCCACCGACACCAAGACCAACGCCAGGAAGACCAGCAGCGTCTATCTTGGTGGGTGCTTTCAACCAGCCTCGTTTGTCAGCCTCGAGGATTGCCTTCAACCAAGCGTCGGCCATCTTCTCATAGCCACTATCGTTTGGGTGCTTCTCGTCTGAGAGATCACCTGCATTGATGTCTATTGGGACTTCCAGGATATGCTTTCCAGCCTTTTGTCTCTCCTCAATGATGGAAATGACTTGTGGGTTGAAGCGATCAGTGTTCTTTTGCATTCTGGGGTTATTTGCCCATATGACAGGAGCAACAAGAACCGTGGTATCTGGAGCATTCTGAAATAGCCCATCAATAATGGACGCCAGCATGTTAGGAGAGCCCTCAAGGTCAACCTCTAGGTCCATGTTGTTTGTGCCGGCATGTACGAGAACAACGTTAGGGCGTGCTGCGATAGACAGCTTCCAGTAGGTATTGATCTGAGCAAGGACCTTTCCACTGTGGCCTTCGTGGTCATTGTCTGCCATGCCAGTGGGAGGGTGCTTCAAGCTGCCGACCATGTCTACTGAAGTACCGCGACCTATGAGTTTCTCACGGAGGCGGTTTCTGTAGCCCTTTTGGTCTTTTGAGCCGTTGCCTTTGGTGATTGAGTCTCCGAGGGGCAGTATGCGAAGACTAGGAAGTGCTGAAGCAAGCGGCGAAATGAGTGCTACGAGCACCATCAACACCGTGATGGTGCCCTGAAGCGTGAATGGCGGCATGAGGAGTGGTGCTATTGACGATTCAAGAGATAGAGATAGAGATAGAGATAGATTGCAGTATTTTGATGTGAATAGAATGGCAATACCATTGATGACAAACATAAGTGACTTTGTTCCTTTCTTCTTATAAGTCAAATCTTATAACGGGAAGAAACATATCTATCTATCAGTCTTTCCATCAAAGGTACCACGGCCCCCAACTATCATTGACTTCGCCTCGGAGACATCTTTCCGCTTCATTAGTGCTGTTGATGAACAGTTGTTAGCTCCAGGATATTTGACAACACACTAGAAAGGCGCAGGAGAAATGAGGCGGAGGTTTCTTCTTTTGATTCTA